TGAGATGGAATTGCAATTGTTGGAAGTGCAGCAACATTTCAAGTAGACGCATATCAAGCCTTTGATTGGACATATGGAGGGATTTTTTTTTCTTTCCTGTCATAAAATGGCAGTGCTCACATGTCTGCTGTGGGCTGGTCTCATCCCTCTCCGTATGTCATTATGGATCAAGGGCACCAGAGAATGGATTCTGGAATTCCGCAGACAGAAAACGGGTCCCCAGAGTGTGGAGGGATTCCTGGGTGACCCCTCCCAACATCCCCAACTGCAGCATGTCTTTCTCAGAAGGCACATGTGAGCACGTCATCTGGTTGACGTTCACACGATCCATATTTTGTCTACTCGTCTTTAGGATGGACGGTGGCCCCCACCCACACACTGTGACTCGATGAACCGTGTTCACCTCTTTCTGAGGAGATCTGGTCCCGCAGATTCACTTTGTAGGAGAATCAGGGAATGGGGCGGGAGCTTCCCACTGGCCGGGTCATCGTGTTGTGTTATAACGGGAACCATCCTAAGTTCCCCAGCGTCGTAATGAGCATCCCGTCTGCCTTGTGTTTCCTGTGACGCAGGAAAGGACACGACTGTCACCGAGGAGCAGCTGCAGGAGTTCTACCAGCTGGCTGAGAAGCACGGCATTGCCAAGGAGAACATTCAGGACGCGGTGCCCACGGGTAATGTCGCTGCACCCCATGGAAACACGTCAGAAATGAACATAATCAGAACAATTCTTTTATTCAGAGTTTTTTTCCTATTAAAAGATAGTTATTTTTAAATTCATGTATTTTTAATAATCTTTAGATACACAAATGATTGATTTGTGTTTATATTTATCTCTCAAAACTATATTTTACAGACACGTGTGAACCTTAAAGACATCCACTGGGTAAGTAGAAACATACTGTTTAAGTCTGTTCAAATTTTTAACCACAGTGTTTTTCATTAGGGCTGATTTTATTTTGCATTTGTGTGGTCAAATGCATAAGTCTAGGAGAGGTTTATTTTGTTTCCCTGTTTGATGTCCGTCGTGCTGGGGTTGTCGTAAAGGCCATTGATTTACGTGGTTGGTCATACGGGAGCCATAGTCATGAGTCCATATTATTTTTTATTAACGATTTCAGAAACTTGATGTCCATAGCATCATGTGACCTGCTTTTTACTATTATCATTGTCCATTCTGTTTTAGAGGTCAGAAAGGCGTTCTGAGCCGTCCTCGCCACCCAATCCAAATCTCTGGAACAAAGATGATTCCTCCACTTCTCTCACAAGTCTTCAGATCTCAACCGGACAGCCGGAGCCTCTGACGCATGGATTTACTTAGTCATCAATTCTATGGCAATAAACTGATTTCTCACGCAAACCAATTCTGCATTCTGTCTGTTCAATCGACTGCAAAGGAAAAGAAATTTCTTTTCCAATTTAACTATTTTAAAAAATCTAGCTGTTTGGGGCTGGAGAGATGGCTCAGCGGTTAAGAACACCAGTTGGTCTTGCAAAAGACCCAGGTTCGAATCCCAGCACCCACATGGCAGCTGACAACTGTAACTCCAGTTCCAGGGGACCCGGCGGCTTCTTCTGCCCTCCGCGGGCATTGCACGACACGGGTGCACTTACCTACATTCAGGCAATACACTCATACACATAAAATAAACATAATATATAAAATATTTTTTAAAAAGCATAGAAGCTTAAAAAAGCTAGATCTGTCCAGCCTGTAATCCTAGCACTTGGGAGGCTAAGGCGGGAGGATTGCTGCAAGTTTGAGGTT